GTCTCCATTGTGAGACTTGTTGATACTGTGTTTTGGCATATAAAATACGTCAATAATAGCTGGGAATAATCATGCTTGACAAGATCTGAGGGTTAAAGAAAAGTAGGTAAAGGTATATTTTTGATAATCTTTCAGTACCAATATTGCAAACTACAGTGCCCAAAAGGAGAGAGAGAGAGAAAAAGAGAGGGGGAAAGAAAGAAAAAAAAGAAAGAAAGAGAGAAGGAAGGAAGGAGGAGAAGGAGAAGAAGGAGAAGGAGAAGGAGGAGAAGGAGAGGGAGAGGGAGAAGAAGAAGAAGAAGAAGAAGAAGAAGAAGAAGAAGAAGAAGAAGAAGAAGAAGAAGAAGAAGAAGAAGAAGAAGAAGAAGAAGAAGAAGAAGAAGAAGAAGAAGAAGAAGAAGAAGAGGAGAAGAAGAAGAGAAGAAGAAGAAAAGAAGAAAGGAGTGGGAGGGGAGGGGGATGGGAGAAAGAAAGGAGGAAGGAAGGGGAGAAGGAGGATGAGGGGGGGAGAAGAGCAACTGCTATAGAGGCAGGCTGGGAAGGGGGTTGAAGGGTGATGGGAGAGAACCTGAGACATTAGTGTTGGGAAATGTACAGCAGTGGAGGAATGGGTGTCGGAATACTGTATGACTGAAATCTAATCATGAAGAGCTGTGGAAGGGCCTCTTACAGTGATTTAATAAAAAAAGTCCAGCACTATCCTCTCATTGTTCATTGATTTGCTCAAGTGGGCACCAGTAACGTCTCCATTGTGAGACTTGTTGTTACTGTTTTTGGTATATCAAATTCATCACGGATAACTTGCCAGGTTTTTGCCGTGAGGGCAGAATACTCTCGGAACTAACTCTTAAACAAAGGAAAGAAATTTAAAAAAAAAAAATGTAGGGCACATATCTTAGAAACTGAATTATATCCGTACCTGAGATATGTTCCCATTTGCACGCTCTCTCTCTCCCTCTCTCTCTCTCTCTCACACACACACACACACACACACACACTTGCCTCTCCTCTTTTTCTAAATAAAAGTATTCTACTTCAAAAAACAAAAGGAATGAACACTTCTGTGTAAATATCTTTATAAGCTGTATTATATCATTGGTGTAATGGCATTTAATATCATCTTAATTCGTATTTAATATCATCTTAATTCATGATACTCTATACAATATGAGAATATATTGTATTAAATTAGCTTTTTAAAATAATAACAAAATTCATCAGATTACAATGTTCCAAAAGGTATGACTAGATCATAAGGAAAATAAAACTTATTAGATGTTTGTTTTGTGTATGCCATATTTTGTGTATATCATATTAGAACAATGAGAGGACAGTGCTGGACTTCTTTATTAAGTTTGTAACATAAGACTTGAAAATCATTTGTCAGTACATACTAGTTGATATTTCGTCAAAATAAATAAATAAATCATTACGTTAATACTAATATCAACTTCATTTTCATTTAAATAGATTATCAAAACTATAAGTCTCTGCCCAATCATAATAATACTATTTAAAACAATTTTTAAGTTAACTCAAATTAAAAATTTCAAAAGGGAACTGGATATGACATTTTAATTCATGAGTTATGAAACAATAAAGAATTACACCCAGAACAGCAATCTGAGGAGCTCCAGAGATGTGCTGCTCACCAGTGACATATCAGAATGACTAAAAAAAAAATGGGGGGCCAGAGTGGATAGTACAGTGTGTGGAGCGCACTTGCCCTGCACACAGCAAACCCAGTTTTAATCTGCAGAATCCCATATGGTCCCAAGTGATTCCTAAGCAAAGAGCCACGTGAGCCCTGAGTACCACCAAGTGTGACACAAAAAATAGAAACAGGGATCTGAGCAATAGTACAGCAAGTACAATGCTTGTCTTGCATGCAACCAACCCAGGTTCCATCACCAGCACCCCACATGGTCCCCAAGCCTGCCAGGAATGGTTCTCAGAGTCAGGAGTAAGCCCTGAGAACCTCCAGAAGTGGCCCCAAAATCAAAACATGCGTGCATGCAGATACACACACACATTTTATACATCTTGAAATTCTCCTTAGGATTTGCAACAAATAAAATATTTCTTCCAGCCAACCTCTTAAATCTCAATAAGAACAGTGAAAGAATATTTTGAGCCACAAACTCCCTCTGCCACAGCACAGCGGTAGGGCGTTCGCCTTACAAGCGGCCAACCCCAGCTAAGACAATTAAATGTCCGCTTAGGTGGGTCTTACTAAAATGATGCTCCCACTTCTCAATTAGGAGCTACTTTAGCAGAGACTCCAGTGAGATTTTGCAGAGGCTAATCTATTCGGAACTACTGTCAGAAGTCGCAGGTCCTGTTCTTCTGCCCAATCCCTCTCACAGAGCAGAGGTTCTACCTCAGGTGCCACCCGGGGAAGTTCCTGCAGTCGATCACCACCTCTCCACAGCTGACTGATACACAAGCTGGCTGTTACAAGAGACAAACCTCTAAGACCAGAGGCTACCCAGAACCTGCTGGCCAAGCAGGAACTTGACAAGAAGCAAGCTGCAGACCCACCCACAGCTCCACGGGGCAGCTCAAGATTTTTCCTAGGGTGAGAACAAGGAGTATCAAATCTTGCTTTAAACGCTTTAAAAGAATTGACCTTGCTTAATGGGATATCCAGATCTAAGGATATTCTGAAAAACAATAGAGATTCAGAGACAAGCCATTAAAAGCAGCTGCAGGAGGGTAACAGCTGAAACCACTAGCTGATTTATCAGAGAAAAAAAGGAAAAGGAAAAGCCTTTCTAGGGCCAGAGGGAAAAAATACCTCAAAGTTGTCCTCAGAGTACTGTTTCAAAGGCTCCCAAATTTAACTGAGTCAGATGCACAGCAATTGTGCACCAGGGCATTTTAAAAACAACAGAGCAATCAGCTGGTAATTAGTGGCCCTAAGAACTGAAGCAAGCAAGCCTTCAAACACACCGGGAAGAGCTGGCAATGAGTTCTCTAGAATAAAATCAAGATGTGCTTCAGTTACTCTTGTCACTAGCCCTGAAGTAGCCAAAAGGCATGAAGGCCAGACCTACTTTGCGGACCAGGAACTGAGGCCAGTAAAATTCCAGCTAGTGCTTGCACAGGGACAGAGAAGGTGGAGCTCCTCCAAGGAAGAACAAAAGTCTGTGATAAGAATGTGAAAGGGAACTACCAAAAGTTCAAAACCACCCCCCTGGACTTCCTAGCTACAGTCCTTTATCTACAGAGAAAGCTGCACATGGGAGTGGTTTGCAAGAAAATCTGTAAAATCAACTTTGCAAAGGCAAGCAGGGTGACAACGCTCTTGGTCAGAGTTGAACCTCTCTCAGAAGTCACATCGCAGGCTTCCTTCCCATTGTATGGATTTCCAGTTGGGATTTTGAAACAGCAAAATGAACATTCCTCAGTTCCCGTAGAAAATAAATCATATGCCAGTTCATAAAAAACTCTGAACGTTATTCTCTGGCCAGAGTGGAAGTAAATTATCAATCAATAACAGAAAGTCAGAAAATCACATATATGAGAAAATTAAGCCACACATTCATAAATGGCCATTGGGTAAAAGAGAGAAAATCACAAGAGTTGAAAAATACTTTGACATTAATAAAAATTAAATGAATCAAAATATGAGGTGTGATTAAAGGATAGCTTAGAGAAAAAAGTAACATTCCACCATGAGATTCTGGAAAAAAGCATAAACACCAAAGAAAGCAGAATCAGAGAAATAATTATAATTGGCATTCAGTGAAATAAAGAATAAAAGCACAGTGGAGAAAATAAAGAAAATAAACAAAATTAAATGTTACTTCTTCAGAAGAATCAACAAAATTCGCAAGTCTTTACTAGATTGACTAATGAAGAAAAAAGGAGACTCAAATTATATTTTATTACCAACAAATTTAAGAATATCACTTTACATCTTGTCAGGTGCCTTGAATAACACGAATGAGAAGCACTTATATTTGGAAAAGCACCTGGTTGTTGCCCTTTTTTCCCTGTATTAGGTAAACAAAATCAACTCCAAATAATAATTTCTCCCTAGCCAACTCTCCCTCCATCCTTCCCCCTCACCTACACACACACAGACACACAGACACACAGACACACAGACATACAGACACACACCCTCTCTTTTCTTTTTGGGAAACTCCCGCATCAATTTCCATTACAGATCTTTTACTTTTCTTTCTCACCTCCCAAGAAATAGGACAGATCAGAGACCAGCTATTTCTTCTTTTAATGTTGTTTGACATATTGTTCTTTCAAGGATCATTTTAATATTAAGCTAGCACACAGTCTTGAAAATGGAAACCAGAAGCTGAATAAATTAATTCCTGTTGTTTTTTTTTTTTTTGACTCAGAAAATAGCAAATAGGATCTGAGGGTTTAGGTCCTCCTTGCCTTGAAAACGGTCAACCCTGGTTTGATCCCTGATGGCATATGTGGTCCCTAAGACCCACCAGAAATGATCCATTAGCACAGAGTCAGGAGTAAGCTCTGAGTACTTCTATGTATGCCCTCCATGAGAAAAAAGAAAAAGGAAGGAAGGAAGGAAGGAAGGAAGGAAGGAAGGAAGGAAGGAAGGAAGGAAGGAAGGAAAGAAGGGAGGGAGGATGAGGGAAGTATAGGGAAACGGAAGAGAGAAGGAAGGAAGGGAGGGAGAAAAAAGGGAAAAAGACAGAAAGGGGGAGAAAAGAGAGAGGATGAAGAAGAAAGAGGAGGAGAAAAGGAGGAGGAGGAAGAGGTGGCGGAGAAGGAGAAGGAGAGTAAATAAATTTGGTTGCTTTAATTATTTTTGTTTGGGGGCCAAACCCAGCAGTGTTCCAGCCTTACGTCTGCCTCTGCATCAGGGATCACTTCTGGCAGGGCTCAGGAGTCCACTTGGGGTGTTGGGGCTCAGAATCTAGTCTACCATCTGCAACACAGCGCCTTACCCACGGTACTATGACTCTGACCCTGGTTGCTTCTTTATAAAAAAAAACGAAAGGGGAATGTATATGTCTGTCAGTCATTTGAGTTTATTTCAATTGTTTAAATTCACTGGAGTCATCTGAATTCATTTTTTTCATGTTTACTTTTCACTTTTCAGACACGGATGTTTGGAGACTATTAGAAGCATCAGAAGTTCAGTCCTGGAATGTTCTCTGGCCACTCCCCAACGGTCCTGTAGGGAGCAGAGGCTGGGTGCCTGTGGGCCGCTGTCCCCTGGCCTGAGCTCAGGGTCCACCAGTAGAGCACAGCAGTGTTGTGTGGCAGGCCTCTCCCTGGCGACAGGCTTCAGAGTTCTGTCGTTTGCAACATTTGGCAGACAGAAGGATGAGTTTTAGTTCATAAAATTATTGACATGTCACCATTTCTAAAAGCAATATTTTTCCACTTCTTTACTTGTGCATATAAAAATAGCAAGAGGGAGTCTCTCTGCTTCCTAGGCACACTGCCTGCTGCTGCTATGGTGTATGGTCAATAGACACATCGTGGCCTGCACAAGCCACTTTTTTAATAGACAACAGGGTGGTACTTACTCTCCTTGCCCCATTCTAGTACTCATGAACCTCCTTCACTTTTGTCTGCAAGGATGATTGGAATATTGCATTATTTCATTATTTCAGTCCTACTCAACACAACCCACATCTCGGAAACACAGTCTTTCCACCTGCATTATCTGTATTTCGAATAGGTTATTTACATCACAAAATTCTTCACAATAGGAGCCCTGTTTTGGAACTCATTTGCTTTACAATCAATAAAAACCACAACAGTCTTTATTAAATGCTTGTCTTGTGTCAATCACTTTACTTTTCAATTGTTTCCACTCAGTCACATCGAGCTGTACCTAACGCTAACTTTAGACTTGCCAATAAAACTTAAATAAAGATACTGGTCATCTTAGAAAGAAATGTCTCAATATACCCAAGCAGTGGAATCCACAGAATATTTTTCATTTCCTATATTATTCTTGACCTTCAAGGAACCACAATTATGTCAAATAATTAGGTTCATATATTTGATAAAACTATTTAACTAAGAAAATAATGTATAAGGTCTAATTTTCATGCACTAACTTCCAAATCATTTTCTATAATAGCAAATCATTCTGAAATTAATTGTATACAAATGTCAAAAATAATGCAATGTGATTTTCACTAGTTCTTCACATCGCATTTTGAAGCTGTATACTCTTATTGATCAAAACTCTTAATTTTAACATCAATGATAAAACTATTCTCCAAATGAATGAATTTGGTGCTGGAGACAAGAATGAAGAACTGCTATTATTGGTAATATATTTTCCCGACTCAATATCAATAAATTATATGTATTCACATTGATAATGCTGAAAACTAGTTTAATTTCTTCTACACATAAGCAATCACAGAATTGCAAAAATACGAATACTAGCAGTAGTGATGTAGATATATAGTACAGGGTTTTCTCTGTATGTACAGCCATTTCTAATATTTCATTAGAGCCTATGTACAGACAACTATTACAGAAGTCCATCAGAGCTGGATGTGATGATGACAATGCAGGCTTTGAGAAAAATGAAGTTGCACTCAAAGTTTCCATTGCTCACTGAAGAGCACTGTAGGATCATTGTCTTCTTCCTTTAAGCAAAAAGAATGAGTGAATTATGTTACTGACATGACACAGTCCTCTATAGTAGGCTGTAACAAAACCAGACACAATAAAAATTAAGTATTTTATAATAAAATGTGGAAATTTAAAAAATATTCTACGCTGTCATCTCTGCAATTGTTCCACCAAGTCTGACATACTTTTTATTTCTATGGTCTAATCTGTTAATCCAAAAATTGATAAATACAAGTAATTTCCACCAAAATAAGCAAGTTTATGAACTGTTTTCTAAGCAAAAATATCATGGATAATAATAAATAAAAATTAATGTAAGCATTGTCATTCATTTCAGTGACGTCATTAAATTTCCATGTGCAAGCATTGTGGACTGAAGGAAACTGCTTAAAAACAAAAAGCAGTCATTCCAGTACCCAAATAACTTTTAAAGTCTAGTACTTTACAGGATAAGGTGTTTTCCTTGCACATGGCTGACTCCGGTTTGGTCCCTGGCATTAAATATGGTTGCTTGAGCACACACACACACAACGTTATACCAGAGAATTCCACAGAGCCAAGAATAAAGCCCTGAGCACTGTCTAGTATGCTCTAAATATAGATTCACATATATATATACATATATCTGTATGCATATACAGATATATGAATAACTCATGAAATTATACTACTTTTGAAACGGATGAACAGACTCCCCATTTTGGAAACAGTATAAGCGAAGATTTTAATTCAGTGTATCTACTTGTGTCACTAGAATAGGAGAGGTTACTGACACTTCTGACAGGTGATGAATGTAAATTTGTATAGTATTTTGGGTTACAGATATGATTAAAATTTAAATGCATATAACTTTTAACCCAAAATTAAACCTCTGAACACAAAAATCATCCAACAATACCTTTTATGTGTAAGTATATATACACTGTAGCTAAAAAAAGGAAAAGAAGCTGGAAACAAAACAACAACCTTCATGAATTATGATACAATGTAATACTTAAAAATTATCTTTGCATGGCTTTTACTCACGACTGTGTGTACATATATACATACACATTTCCATGAATTTGTGCATAAATACATAGTTGTAAGTTTTGGAATAGTTTAGTAGAAATCTTTATAATGTTGAAGGATGCATTTCCAAACTACATTTCAAACAAGACAATCCTATCAAATCTTGTTTGTTTGGGGGGACCAGACCCAGCAGTGCTGAAGGCTTACTCCAGACTCTGTGCTCAGGGAATCTATAAATATTTGGGGCACCATATGTGGGGCACAGGTCAAAGAAGTGTCAGCTATATGCAAGGCAAGCACCTAAATTCCTAAACTATCACTCTGGCCCCAAATCTTTTAATAATATGCTTTGCTCGAGCGGGCCCAGTAACATCTCCATTGGAGACTTTGTTGTTACTGTGTTTGGCATATCGAATACTCTCGGTAGCTTGCCGGGCTCTCCGAGAGGGGCGGAGGAATCGAACTCGGGTCGGCCATGTTGGCCGCTTGTAAGGCGAATGCCCTACCGCTGTGCTATCGCTCCAGTCCCAATAATATGCTTAAAAAACATTATTTCAAAATGAGATCATTGTTTATGCATATATTTTATCTACATGTATTTACGAAGCCATAAATTATAAATCAGTGGTTGACAAGAAAATGACTGATAATATTGTCACTGTTACTGTCCTCCTATTGTTCATCTATTTTCTCAAGCGGGCACCAGTAACATGTCCATTGTGAGACTTCTTGTTACTGTTTTTGGCAGATCGAATACATCAGGGGTAGCTTGCCAGGCTTTGCCCTGCAGTAGTGTAGCAGGTAGAGCGTTTGCTTTGCACGCAGCCCATCTGGGTTTGATTCCTCCGCCCCTCTCGGAGAGCCTGGCAAGCTACCAAGATCCACCCGCATGACTAATAATATAAATGGTAAAAATGGAACCAGAGGGTACAAGGGGTAGGGTATATGTCTTGATTATGCCTGACCCCAATTTGCTGCCAGCACCACACGATCCTTAGATAACTGACAGGTTACTGTCACTGTCCTCCCGTTGTTCATCAATTTGCTCAAGTGGGCCCAATAATGTCTCCACTGTGAGACTTGCAGCCTGAAATTCCATGAGCATTCTCAGATATGGTCCTGGAAGTCCTTAAGCACTGCCAAGGTGACTGAGGTAATTCCCAACACCACAGGGTCAGAACAACAATGCATCTTGGGCCACTGTATTGAGCTTCTTGTCCTGTTAGACCAGAATCCCTGGGAGGAGCCCCTGGCCCTCCTGAGCATGTTTGGGAGATCCCCTCCCCCCAGTTGTAAAACTATAACATTTCAGATTTAGTGAACAATAAGGTGAGCTATAAAATTTCCACAAGTTCCCAGTTTCCTAAAATGTGTATCCTATAAATCTAGAATCAGAAAATATATCCACATTTTTAGAAAAAAAATTAGTAAAATATGGTTCTTAGGACAGAGAGATAGTACAATAAGTAGGGTGCTTGCCTTACATGTAGCCAACCTGTGTCCAATCCCTTGCGCCCTATATGAACCCTAAGTATCACCAAGAGTGGCCACAAAAAACTAACAGAAAAGTAAAATATGATCCTTTCATACAAAACCATCTCCGTCTCTAATGTTAATTTTCATTGTAAATATCTAAAAGAAATATGTCATATCCAGAGTAGTACAAATTTAGGTGCATAGTTATTACCTGATTTAATAAACACCATAAAGAATCATGTACAGAACATAGAAGCAAAAGCTGGTCTAGATGCCCGAGGTATTATTTAAAAAGACATATTCAACCTTTCCAAAAGTATCAGATCCAAAATATCAACTAAACAGAGATGGTTAAGCAAATACACTCTTAAAAAATATATTAAATCTGAGGCTATTTAAACTTTAAGGGCTTTTAAAATTAAACATGCACCAATAATGCAAAGACATAGGGACTTGTCCATTTGCTCGCTGGGGATTTGTTCGCTTTTGAAGCCACAAGGACTTGAGTTAAAGTGTCCTCGATGCGTGTCGAATGAATCTTGATTTACCTGAGGATCTCCTCTGGTGGGAAATTCAGGTACTCTGCTAAAATCTCCCTCCTCGAGGAAACTAATGCCTTATGCTTACTGAACTTTTTCTACATATGTTTTTCAAAGAAACTGTCACTTCCCAATATCAAGGCTCACTAAAGATGATTTTTCTATCAATTCCCCCTAGAGATGGACAATTGTTCTTATTTAGTCATTTAGAACATTTGCACAACTACTCTTATTTAGGTATCAGATCTCCTGGGAGGAAAATATTTCAATTAATCACAATCTGGGATACAGATTGGAGTCAGGAAGATACTAGTTTAAATCTGTCATCAACTCAGTGTAAGATTTTAAACAATCTAATTACTCTTTCAGAGTCTAGGATAGTAACACCTACTTCATAGGGTCTGTGTGAAAATGTAATGTGACAGCACATATAATGTGACAATAGTGTCCCCAAAAGCACATAACTGAAAAACTAGTAATACTTTTGGCTGATTTTACACATATATCACTAGCTGAAATTAAACTATATTGGAACCAAATATTTTCCATAGCATGTTTGAAATTTAATTTTCAGCATTTTAGAGTGAATTTTTATGGAATAAATATATACTCTATCTCCATCTGTATTACTTACAAAGTCCAGCAAAATATTTGACACAGTGCAAACACTCCAAGAAAAGTCATGTTAAATGTGTAGTGTATATACTAGAAAGTACAGAAAATAGTGGTAGCTCTATTTTCATTTTTCTTCTTTGTATCAAAATTTACACAGCTATGGTTTAAAGGGTTATACAATGCAAAGGTTCTGAATCTCCCATATGCCCTGAGTTCCATCTCATCAAGATTTTTTGTTGATTATTTTATTAACATCATAGATCTATACCATGACCTTACAGAGTTTTTTAGTACAATTATTTGATTACTGCCTTTAAATTTCTAGTGTTATGTTACTTTTCTGTTAGGGCATTTGCTTTGCACATGGCCAGCCCAGGATTGATTCATCCATCCCTCTCGGAGAGCCCAGCAAGCTACTGAGAGTATCCTGCCAGTATGGCAGAGCCTGGCAAGCTCCCCGGGGCGTATTCAATATGCCAAAAACAGTAACATTAAGTCTCACAATGGATATGTTACTGGTGCCCTTTCGAACAAAATTGAACAACAGGAGAACAGTGCTACAGTGCTACAGTTACTTTTCTTTATGGAGAATGAAAATTTGATTCTCTTTTCTCCTATCCCTTCTACCTCCCCCCCCACCACCACGCACACATGCATCCTTCCCTTCACCCCACCTTCCCAAGATGGTTATTTCACCAGATCAATATTCAGTTTCTATGACGGTGATGATGCAAATATTGTTCAAATCGGAAATGATCTATCTGCATTAATGTATCATTGATTTTTCGTTTAAGCAATAATGTTTTTTCTGGAGTGAATAGTTTTATCTCCAAAATTTTCTACTAATTTCTACCCACCAAATGCATAACTATCATTTCAGTAAATTAAAATATGTCGTGATTTCTTTCAAATTTTTCCCCACCACAAGGATTTTTTTTTATCAATTTTCTCAGCATCTCATATCTGGACTGTCCCTCTGACCCCAATTCACCAGTTTTCTGAGATTCTCCTTTGACTTTCTCTTTTGTTAGAGCTTATTTTCTGAATTCCATGTTTGCTTTCTTTGCTTTGTTTTTCTTCCATTTTGCTGAAGCACATCTTCCAGTATTATCTGAGAAGCAAATTTTCCATCCCTAAGTGACTACCGAAAGTTTGAAGTTGGTAAGGAGTTCCGGTAGGTTGTCATTTACTCTCGGTATTCTGAAGGTCAGACTTCATTGACTCGGAGATGTCAGGATTGGTGCTGAGAACCTTCAGTTTCATTTCAGCTTCTTTGATTGTGTCTGTTTGTTTGTTCTTTCTTTCTTGCCCCCTGTTATTTCTACCTTAATTATCAGAGATTTTAGAATAATATTCTCATGATTTGGGTGTGT